TTCCTATGGCTGGGATTTAATCAAATTAGCGAATGAATATCATTACGTATTTTCAACGATGGCATGAGTAAATTAACTCATTCGTGACATGAAGTCGTAATTTTATGGATGAATTGAGTGGTTTTTCTTACAATGTTATCGAGATTTGATACTGAAAAGTTGCTAAGGCAAGTATCTTACGGCGAAAAATCGGATGTCTACCAGTGAGAATGACAGTGTTCCATATAAGTGAAATTTTTACCTTTCATTTAGTATATTGTGTAGGACTCCTGTGAATGATATCTGATTCAATTTCATAACGAATATTTGGAATGCAAACTGAATAGAGAAAAAAGTGTTTTTGATATATTCAGTGTTCATATGTAAATATTTGTTTGGAAAGTATTTTTCTTTCCTGTAATTCAATGTTTATATGACACTAGCTATTTCGAGAGGGCTTTTCTTTAGGTTTGTGTCTGAAAATTACTTTTTTGCATGATCTACAAATCTTTATATACAGTGCATTTCTTTAATGTCCCCCCCTTTCATTTTTTTAACGAGTCAACTCAAAAAATTGAAATTTGGGATAATGAAATTAATGCATGAATACTTTATTTTGAAGTAAAACTGACAGATGAAACTTTCAAGATGGCGACTGGGCGCCATCTGGGAAAAAAATGTAATGGAAAGGGGGTCTTGTTACACATCATTTTGAAGCTCCTGACAAATACTTCACAACCCTAGAATATGAAGTCAATATCTTCACCTACAACAAAATGGCGAAGCATTCAATAATTTCCTGAAGACTAAACACATCAATATAGATATTTCTAGAAATATTCCTTTTTATCTGGCATATGACAATTCCAACAACCCGATAAGGATATTGAGTTATTTTTTTGTTTATAAAAACGACAAAAAATGTCAGTACGGCAATGAATATCATTGTTCAGTTAGAATATTCTCATTTAGTTTTCGGTTTCACTAATAGGAAGGTTCCACGACAACAATCCCGTTCGTTGGAAGAAAAACTTTAGGGGATTTTTATTTATGGTGCGACACGTTACTTTCACGAGACCGAAAGGATTTTCAATGAACATTTTCCGAATCGTCCTATCTGTAGGAAATATTTGAGGGAACTTGTATCCAAATTCACAACTACCGGTAGTGTAGGTACATAACAAGAATCCCCCAGGTCATCCGTCCATTCCGGAAGAACAGTGTGCTAGCCAGTGATGCACAATTAATAAACCAATATCAGTTATCACACAAATCTGTTTATTCATCACCCAATAATTAATATAATAACAATATAATAGTAAAGACGGTTCTCAACGTTTCTGGCTTTCTCCGTCGTCGGTCACCATTCAACTGCCTATCCGTAACCTCGTCCCTCACCGCGCTACATGAATCATCGCTGATTCACTCATCGATGCGTCTCCACAATCCCACCATTTTTTTCAGTTTAAGTGGTGTCAACTTCATCGGCGGTGTCTCTACATCAACTGGATCCGGGGGTATTGCTGTAGTTGGCTGGGGATTGGGAAATGATGTTCCTCCTGGAATTGTTTCATTTTGTTCTCCTGATGTCGTCTCTGGAACTGTTGACTCACACAAATCTGTCAATTTCTTAATGTAAGTCACTTGTCTTTTTAGGACTTATCCATTGTCGCTAGTTATCGTCACCTCGTTCCCCTATCTTTTCAGTACTGTGTATTATTCTTGTCCAAATCGAATAGTGAGCTTATGCCCCGGCACCAGGTTCTTCACCAGTTCTTTGTCACCCTCCTTAACTTCCGTATCGCGAGCGTTTCTTGATGCATCCTCTCTCTCTTTCGCTTTTTTGTTTATTAATTGTGTCGTTATCTTGGGCTCCTTCATCAGTAGCCTCACGTACCAAGTCATTTATCGATGGAATTTTGTCCCGAATGTTTCTGTTGAATAGCAATTCTGATGGGGATTTTTCTGTGGTTCCATCAATGTGTATTTTTGTAATTTAGATCGATAGTTAAGTTTATTCGCATGATAGATCTGTAGACGTTTCAAAATTGCCATATTCATATGATCTACCTCCCCATTCACTTGTGGCCAGTACGGCATAGTTCTAATTAACGTGATGTTGTGTGTACAAAAATCTTTAAATTCTTGGCTAGCAAACTGAGGTCCATTGTCTGCTCTGACTGAAGTTGGAATTCCTAAGCGGGAAAATATCTCGGATAGGTGACTTATAATTACGGCTGATGTTGTCGATTTCAGAAATTCAATTTCTCGATACCGTGAACAGAAGTCTATAACGAATATTTGTTCATGGTTGGGTAACGGCCCCATTAGGACAATTAGGACAATGGCCTATCAGGAAACTTTTGTCTCGACATCGGCGGAGGCTTATCTGGAAGTGCAACCAGTGCACAGTCAAGGCATTCCTTATCAAAGCGCTCGGCTTGTCTGTCGATCAGAGGCCACCAGACTTTGGCCCTCAACCTACGTTTCATTACCGTCTCGCCTGGGTGTCCTTCATGTGCAAGTTGTAATGCGATCCACGCCAACGTGATCTCAAAGATATTTGAAAGACTGGAATCTGTTACTCAGATGTCGTCAATACCAGATAACGTGACAACTTTATCATCAGCTACATGCACGATATGATATGACCTCCAAGAGATTTCAAAGACTAGATCCATTTCCGTCTAAAACACATATTAGCTCTAGAACTTGAACTTGGTAGCCAGGCGTCGTTATCCGCTTCGATATTTGTTAATAGTAATGATACACTGATACACATCATCGTGGTTAGATATTAGTGCTACAGTATCACTTTTCTTCGCTTGATTTTTCATGTTGTTTTTCTTTTAGAGCATTGTCTCCCTAGTGACCTATAAGCTTTTAGGTATATGTCACATTTCGTTTTTTGTTTCAAATCCTATATTTTATGTTCCTCCATATTCTTTCTCTCATCTTACTGCTTCAAATAAAGAGACTCTTTGGAATGCCAATGAATCTTTTCTGACTTGTCTGTTACACTTGAAGACTGAACCGTTTGGTCCACACTTCCGCAGCAGCCTGTCAATTTACTGAAGGAGTAATTCCGTATTTGAAAAAAAGTTAAGGTGGCCTTCATTGAACGAAACGTTTTTGCAAAAATTTCATGATACCAAATGAAAGTGTGTATGAAATACTGTAAAAAAATTCTTGCGTTTGTTTCTATTTTGAAATCACGAAAACAAAAATCAAAATATATTTATTTTCTTCTGATACCATTTTCAATTAAAGTGCACCGTTTGATAGATCTTTGAAATACACAACTTCTTTGTAATTTAGCCAACTTAACTTTAAAGGTTTTCAGGATCCTGCTCAAAAAACCAGTCTCTATAGAAGGTTATTATTTCAAAATAGTTAATTGAAAAGCCTCCTATGTATCAATACTAGATTCACAAAAATTTGTCAATAATTGTTTGAATAATTTCTTTTCCCACTTTGGTATATGGTTGAAACCTTCCCAATTTTAATTTTATCTGGATTTGTTTAATTTTAGAAAGTATTGGAAATAATATAAAATGAAATTGACTTTAGTTCTGTTAAGACTGTTTTTACAATTCTTACAGGGATTTCATCTAGTCAGATGCTTAGGATTCTTAGGATTTAATTGATCAATAATATTCTTTATTTCAGATACACAAAAATCGGCTCCAAACCATATATGAAAGTCATATTAGGAATAATATTAGTTTTTGTCATATTAGGAATAATATTTGACAGTCTATTGTCTATTACCTATTATAACAAAATGTTAATTAACTGTCTCATAGAATTCAGGCCAAATCATCAATTATTATACTGTTCAAATTCAGATTTTCAACATTTTCGTTCTCATTAGTTGAATTATACAGTAAAAAATTTATACCTTTCCACAATGATTTTGGGATTGAGTTGCTGATGCTGGTAACATTCATATTTTTTTATATCCATAGATTTTCAAACTATAGAAAAAAATGAAACTTTCTATGTTTTTTACCACTTTTATTTGTAATTATAATAGTTACTGCAATTTTGTCCTATATGAACATTTTCAAACTTATTCAATAAAACTGAAAATAAATAATGTTAGCCCTTATATTAACTGAACACCACTGTAGGTAATAACAGCAGTAGGTACTTAACTCAATTGATTACCTGAATTTTATTTATGTGTTACAATGTTGTTACGCTAATTTTATAACCAGTGATCATTAAGCAGGTTACATCTGCAATGCTTATGAATTTCCAAGGATTCTAAATAATTGATTTTCCAACCTTTGCTTGCACAGTGCAAAATGTCCAAATTCTTTTGATGGAAATAAATGAAAGTAGTAAAAAAACATAGAAAGTGTCCTTTCTCATGATAATAACCTACCACATAGTAACGGTTCATCAATTACTAAACCATGGGATTTTTTACAAGTGTATTTTTGTATGAACGTTAATCAAGTTTCCGATAAATGTTCATAAGCATTATTGGGATTTAGATGAAGGAGAGTTGTATTAATATGGTTTGCTAATTTTTCAAGGAGAAAATTCTGAAAAGTGGAAAATTTTATTCCATTTGTTGAATTGAAAATCGAAACAGCACATCTACAAATTATTCATTTGATAAAAAAATCAACCTGCAATTTTAATACAATAATACTGACCATGTTCAAATAAACTAGCTCATTTAATAGTCTTTTAAACTTTGTAGTTTCAAAGCCAAATTCAAATGTAATCTCGTAAAATATACTAACTTCTGCGCCACAAAATTATCTCTTGATTTCAATGTCTTCTTCAAACTGAAGAATGAAAATTTATAATCGAAAATGTAATACCTAATATGTATAAGTAGGTATTTCTTGCACATTACCAAAATAATTGAAACAAATGAAAATCAAACATCTACAAATCATTAGTACTAATATTGAACAAGTATATTTTCACCCAAAACCCAATAATAGTTTAAGAACTTTTTGTCGGTGGCAAGCAAACTAAGTGTATAAATGAGAGTTCAAGAACTTGTTAACATAACAGTTTGTTTATTCTATACATTTAGCATGTGGTTTCATACAATTGATAATATACCTAGTCAACTCTGAATTCTTCATCTGCTGTTCTAAGCGTTTGAAATTCCTCTCCAAGTAAGGAAGAGCTGCTTCCAGCAAAGAAGTCAATCCCACAGGTCTGAAATCTCCCTCTTGCAAATCTTTCATCAAAATATTCATCACTAATATTCCAGAATGACAATTCTTTCCATTCATATTCCAATTGATTGCCATCTTGAACAGGCTTTCCTTTTGATCATTTCGCAATTTTTTTATGGTTTCTGCCAAATCACTATCGGAATTCTTCACACTTTGTAAAATCATCAATACTTGCCGAGGTCTATCCAATTTCAATGCCAACTTCAGTGCTTTGAGGAAATTTTCTTCCATCAAGTAATTATTTAATTTTTGTTCTTGTTTAGCCAACTCTTCAGCTTCTTCTATACGTTTCAATCTCACTTCTTGAGTAACATCCTTCCACTTGATTAGAACTGAATCGCTACCCCCTGTTACAAAAGCAGTTTCATCTTGTTTGATTGCTAAGGCCCATATTCGAGCACTGTGTTGATCTAGGGTGCATACACATTCAGATGTCTTAATGGAAAATAACTTCAACAAACCATCAGCCCCTGCACTCAATATTTGCATGCCAGATGCAATAAATTCTGCCCTAATCACACTAGCGTCGTGCCCTTGGAATGTTTTCAGACAACTTAGATCTGCCACAGACCACAACTTAACCGTGCAATCAGCCGATGAGGTTACAACAACTTGATCGACTGGAGAAAATCGAATTGACCATACTCCCCTCTTGTGACCTTTTAAAATGCCTACCAATTCCAGTGATGTTGTCCAAATCTTGGCAGTCTTGTCTTGAGAAGCTGTTGCTATAATCTTATCATTTGGAGATACTGCCACAGAGTTGATATCCTTTTCATGAGCTATTGTAGTATGAGAGCAGTAGAGACTATTGTTTTTCTTTGGTTCAGTGGGGATTTCCCACATTTTCAAGCATGTATCTTGACTTGCTGAGACAGCAAAATTACAAGTCGTCTGACTAAAATTAACTGAACCTACAGATGCACCATGCCGTAAACCAATTCCTATACAGCTCATTGAATTTGTAGAACCTTCCAATAACCACAACCTGACAGTATTATCTTTTCCAGATGAAATCATTAGGTCAGGTCTTATTTTGTTAGTGCACAAAGACAATACTATATCAGTATGTCCCTTCAAGATTTGACAGTTCAAGGTAGTATTACAATACAATTTAATGTCGTTTGAATTTGTTGCTACAGCCAAGTGAGAATCATCTTTTCCAACATATGTGATATCCAGTATTTCATCTGAAAATCCTATGAACTGTTTCAGGCAAACAAATGATTTCAAATGATATATAATAATATTCTGATCAACTGTTACAAGTGCGAGAGCTTTCAACTTTCTGTGAAATTTTATATTTGATATGGCTAAACATCCTTCCTCGGAAGCAGGTGTCACCAAAGAATTTGTTTGAACAAATACTTCTTTGGATTTTGTAACATCCCACACTCTCACTACTCCTCTTTCACCAGCAGATGCTACGTAAATACTGCTGGGATCAGATTTAAAATCAGGAAGTTGAAATTTTTTTGGTAAGCTCACTATAACTTCTACTGCTTCTTGTACTGGTAAAGTTTTTAATGGAACAGGGTTTCCAAATTCCCAGAGTATCAACACCTTGTCTCTGGCACAACTAATGAAATGTTGGTTATCATGACTGAATACTACAGAAGTTACTTTACTGTAATGTGCATTATAGACACATTTCAACTCCCCTTTATTGAGTTCATAACAGTTAATTTTGCCATCATCTCCTGATGCAAAGATGAAATCATCAATGGGATGATATTCCACAACATTAATAACACCCTGACAACCTTTCAAACTAAGAATGCAAGCTTGATACTGCAGATCCCATATCCTGACAATGCTATCAGATCCACCACTTGCCAATTTATTATCTTTTAGTGCTAATTTCGCTATGGGGCCAAGATGAATATATTTCCACATTTTTTCAATTTCTCCATTTTGATTCCATAACTTGAGTAAACCACTTTTGTGTGAAGACACAGTTTGTTGTCCATTTGTTGTAAATGTCTATATTGAGTCTGCATCTTCAGAGTTTTCTTCGCCAATTGTTTTTGAAACCACACCATTTTCTGTATTCAATAAGGAAATATTCGAATTGTTTTGGCAATAAAGGGTATCTTCAAACCACTCCACATTGCCTCCTGTATAGAAAGCTCCATGTTTTGATTCCAGTTCAAACCTGAAATATCAAATATCATCAGTTCATAATACATAAATAGAATATTGAGTAGATGGTTACTTTCTGGAGAGCTTCAATTGTTTTAATCCACTTGGAAGTGAATGGATCATAGTCATCAAGATAAATATACCTTGTCAATGATTATATATTTCAAAAATATCGAAAATATTTATTAAAATAGAGATATATCGTCTGATAGTGTGTTGAATAAAATAGGACCATAATAATTTTTCGAAAAACGGCAGTAATTTAGTATCTGTTGTGATTGTCTGGAGTTATATGAATGAAAATGATTTAGATATGAGTGAGGATTTTTTTTTACATAATTCATACACAAATAGACTTGAAGAGATGGTAATGTAAACATTTTAACCTAGTGTAAAACTAACTCGCAAAACTTTTCTTTGTAGTCCAAACACTCTCTTGTAGTCCAAACACTCTCTAGTGCCCCCAGAATAATAAATCATAAGAGATATGGGACATAAAAAGTGAATGATAAGCAGTGATAATGGTTTCAATTGATGAAAAGTCCATTGAACTTCTTATAACATAAATGCTCATTGCCAATTTTTTGCAAATAAAATCTACATGTTTTTCCCAAGAGAGCTTTGGATCCATTTGAAATCCAAGAAATATGATCAATTCATTTTGGTCTAAAGGCAGTTGTTTGTGTGTAAAAAAGGAATGTTGCGCTTCATAAGTATTTAATTTTAATTTATTATTTGTCAGCCATCTATCAGCATTTGATTCTGCTATTTTCATTACTTCAACTATAACCTCGTAGTTTGTATTTCGGAGCTTTAAAGATGTGTCGTCAGCAAATTGCGTAATTTCGGAGTCATCACCAGTCTTGAAATCAATCACATAAATCAAGTATAGAATTGGTCCCAAAACCGAACCTTTGTAGACTCGGTTTTTCATTTTTTTGATATCAGATGCCTTATAATTCGAAAAAACGTACTGTCTATGTTCCAATAGGTATGATCTAACTGTAATAATTGAATTTTCCTCGAATTTGAAGCACTCCAATTTTTTTAAGCAGGATTTCATGTGACACACAATCGAATGCCGCCTGAAGATCGCAGAACACTGTTCGTGTGTGGACATATTTCTGAAATCCTATGACGATTTTATCTACCAGCTGCATTACAGCGTCTGGGGTGATTTTCTGTTCCAGAAACTATATTGGTAATCTGGAATGATGTTATGTACCTCAAGGTGTTCTACTGACTGCAATTTCAGAACAGCTTCAAATATTTTACGATTACGGTACAGTTTACACAATTCTTCGGCATTTTTTTCTTTTGGTATTGATATCGCTTTCGTAATTTTAAGGCAATCAGGAAAAGTTCTGGATTTTATTACTTCGTTTTGTTTGTTAAGGGTGTGATTATGATATTTTTGAATATTTTCATTGAAAAGAGGGTAGAGTTAACGACTCATTAGCCTCAAATGATTATTTACATGATACCATGTGCCTCACTTCACAAAGATAGCAAATAGGACGCTTTTGTACCTAAATTTGTAACTTGTGTCGCTGTACCTAATTCATTTGCAAAATAACTTGCATATTAACTTGGATAATGCCTTGATCATTCAGATTTGAGTACAACTAAAAAAAAAACAACCCAACTGAAACTTTCATCTAACGACATTGAATTAGAAGGAGGATTATTATATCAATTTAAAAAAATCATTCAATCTCCAGCCAAATACTTTTTTCGTCAAATATCCTACACTGTATAAATGACTGCACCAAATTTTACTAAACATAAACAAAAATCTGAAATTGATTTTTAAAAACTAGTCAAAACCAAAACACACGTTTATGTAACATAACCTCAAATAATCCAGTACTATTTACTATTGATTGGTAATATTAAAAATTTCTTGAATGTTAAAAATTAAGAATACTTACGCTTCTTTCACTCTCAATTTAGACCCCATTCTGCGGTGATTGTATTGAATTAACTATAGGTAAGATCCAATATCTCAATAACCTGCCACTTGAATATCACACATCTGACTCCTCTGAGTGCAAGTTACCAACTATTCTATATTTCTAAAATTCTACAGGTACCAGGTATTCTACGAATGGCAATGCCACTACTACTTTAATTTTCTTATAAGTATCACCTACCATTGCAGATCAATTTAATAATGAATGTGATTATCAAATATTTACATTGTCCTGCAAGAGTAAAATTAAGGCTTTTAAGTGGAACAGTTTTGAATAAAGAGGTATCAAAGGATGGAAATTATACCCCTGTTTATAAATTCCCATATATAAGACCTTTAGCAGTGGTAAATAGATTAAAATTGTACCAAACAATTCTGACAGCCACAAGTGTACCAGCAGTAGCAATTATGACACAAATGAACTATGTTGATGTGGATGCTTTAAAAGCTACATGCTTTCTAGGTAACTTCTCTTATTCACTTTCTCAAAACAAATTTGAACTTTAATTCATTTGTAGGTCTTTCAGGATGCATTACACTTTACGGTTTAGGATTCCTAACAAGCAAGTTCATAGGCTTCATTTATTATAATGAAGAAAAGGATGTGGCAAAAGTAGCCTATGTGGACTTTTGGGGAAGAAGGAGGGATCTTGAAATACCTGCAAGTGATGTGATTCCAATAAACGAACTCCCACATTCGTATATGGATGGTTTGTTCCTCACATTCAGAAGATATTCAACTAAACAAACACTTCGACTCAATATGCAATATGGAATTATATTAGATAAAGAAAAGATCAGTAAAATATTGTAGATTTTTTAATATTCATTTGTTGAAACTATTGAAAATATAAATATTTCAACTCCATCTGTAATGGGCGTAGGCTCTATTTGCCTCACATTGTCTATGTAGATCTTGTTTCTTTTTCACAACCCTTCCTGTGTCATTTGAGGCATCAATCAACTCCCGAGCTAATTGCAAATGAAATCTAACTGGTTTCTCCTTATCCTTGGCAGCAGCTATAAGCCATTTCATTGATAAAAACTGAGCTCTTCTGTCTGTGATGGGTACTGGAACCTGCAAACATTTGATTACAGCAAACTTTGATGTATACAAGTGAAAATCAAGCTCAGACCTGATACCTCACTCCTCCCCTCTTGATGGGCGTTAACTGAAGAATGGGTTTGCAGTTCTCCACTGCTTTGTGAAAAATCACTTTGGGATCGAGTTCAATATTTTGTTTGTCTTCTTCGCTTTTGGCCTTATGGTATTTTTCCAGCTGAAGTCTTTTTACACTTTCTAAGGACTGTTCAACAACAGTTCTTGCTAGTAATTTATTGCCATGTTTCATACAGTAATTAATAAATAAACTGCAAATAAAAAGTTTCAAACATATAAATGACTCGTTTTAGTTGAACTCACTTAACAAGATCATCATGTGCCAAAGAGCTAGTTTGATCATTCATTGCCGCTTTAGTTGGATGGTGGATTAATTTCTGTGCTTCGCCACTTTTGAACAATTCTTCCTGAACATCCTTTCTGTATACAGGCTGTATGTAATAACTAGGATACTGGGACATTTTATTGAACTGAAGTGAACTGAAAAATTACATATACCCATTCAAGTACAAGACAAATATGACATAGATTTAAAGTGCCTTGCTAAATCACAAAGAATTACCGTACCTCAATACCTGTGTGTTTGATTTGCATAGCTGAATTATTCCGAGGAATTTGTTCATGCATGCCATTTTGAATATTTGCTTTATTATTCAAAGTATAATCAAAAAATTCTTATAAAAATTTTTTATTTTACTACCTAACTTTAACCTATTTATATTGACATTTGATCTTCTTCTTTGTTATTTTTTTCGATTCCGGGTCAATTCGTCAAGATCAAAAGGTTATCTACGAAAAAATTCACCTCACCACATGTTAGGTGACTAGAGACAACTGCCATTGAATACCGAAGACACTACCTAACGAGTAGATATTTATATAAAAGAGTAAGTAAATTCATAGGTACAACCAAAGAATCTGAACGAAGTTCTGCGAGTTTTTCGAAACAGAAGGAAGGCATATTTTTGAGTTTCATTCTAAATATTGCAACGAAAAACAATCATCAGAAAATGATAATTTAGAATGTGGAATGTTTCTACTAACGAGAATCAAGTAGTTTTCATTAAAGAGCTCTGAAACAACGCATTTTAAACTTATCATTTCAACCTTTTGCTTTAAAAAATTATTTAAATACTTAAACAAGACGAATGAAATAATGCATTCAACATTTAAAGGGATTCGTTTCAATTTCACCATTTGGCAACATCGCTTATAGCTAATAAAGGACAATGAATCTGTTATCTGTATGAGACAAACAAAAATGACATATTTCAGAGGCGTGCTGTTCTGTTTACTTATTTTCCGAGTTGCGAGACATTCTGTGACATATGACATTTTGTGTACCTAACCTATCTTCCTCTATATAAATAAATAACAAAACAACTGTTGTTTATGTGGCTTGTGGAGGTGGTATTGAACTATAATTCATATTTCGCCTTAATTGTTGATTTATAAAGATAATTTTTCTTTTTTAAAGTAGAATATCTAGGTACGTATACATTATTTCAACTTGATATAGGCGCTGTTGCCAATATGTGAATTAGAAACAAATCCCTTTAAAAATTAAAACCCAACATTTTAAACATCAATTTGAATACTTTTCGAAGTGAATTTGAAAAACTCATGAATTAAGTTCAACTTTATTTTGTTCAAACTTGCTTTGCTGTAATAACCCAAATTGAGGAACATTCCCATTGATATCTATGAATATCATAAGCACAAAACGCATCAACGGGAAAGTGGCAACGTATTACTGCCAACACCGCTGATGATATCCTGTTATGAGCGAAACGCTACCCAGCCCATATAACTAGAGTTCGAATATCAAAAATTTGACTTCAATCTCGAAATTTTCACCCTATATGGTCTTTCCGAAAATATTAGTTATTAAAAAGCTATATAAATATCCTATTGAAATAATAAGTTCATCCTCAGATTCTTTGTAACTATATTTTCCGGCCCAAAACAGTGAGACACGTCTAAGTTTTCATCATAAGTCATACGTCATATTATGGCGTATAGTGCGACTTTTAACAATATTCTTGTAATAATTGAAGATTAGCGTCACTCCAGTATCGACAGTTGTGTCTATTCACCTTGTCAATCGAATAAAACAATCAATAATCAGAAACATACATAAAGTACTTCAATTTTTTTCCGTTTTATTATGTCGTTAAAATATTCACAGAATATCACGCGGCGGTTAATGCACCAATTTTATTGGGTAGGGTATTTTTAAGATACTCCAAATTATGAGAACAGTATTATTCTGATACCAAATGTGTTAGCGACCTTATTCAAAAAGTATTACCATCCATTTCAACAAAATCGCAACTTATACCTTTTCACCACTCACATTGTGAGACGAAATTTGTTTCAAGTGATGTAAGTTTTAGAAAGAGAGAATGTTTGTACTGTACTATTTTCATTAGAAGGACGTATCTATAAAAATGCAAAACAAAAACAACGTCATACCTTCCACTCAAATCTAGTATGTCGGTGGAATTTGCGGGAAAAGTGATAGAGGTTCCATCATAACACAGTCACCACATAGCTCTCTTTGATATAACCTCAGATGTGTCTCGCGGCTTTTAGCTACTGAATATGTTTACGAATAATTTTAAGATGAACTCATTTCGTTAAGAGAACCAGAGTATATTTATCTATAGTTTTTCAACATTTTATATATAGTTTCGAAAAAATTGAAGACATATATGGGTGCATATTCAGTTTGTGTAATAAACAAATAGTTTTTGAATTATCCGTTCATGAATTCAAATACTAAATAACGATTGCAAAATTATTAGATTGAAGTCGAAATTTGAGGTTTGGACACAAATCTTTCAATACGAAATTTTGGGATAGGAGTCAAAATTTTGACATTGAAGTTGAGAGGTTGAAGTCAAAATTTTGGGTTTAGAGTCTGAATGTTGAGAATGAAGTTTCATGTTCGAAATAGTAATTTCGAGTTCAAAGTTGAAATTTACTTAAAACAAATTATAAAACTCTAAAATGGACCACTCAAACACCAACTACATATAACGAGTGGAATAGCGTAGATAAAAAATAAATGTGATATGATAAATGTGTTAAAGATGATATATGTCCCCATTATGTTATGTGTGAGTGTGTGTGTGTGAGTAATTTTGCAGTTTAATGAGGTGAATCAGAGGCGGTGTAAGGCGTGAGCGGTGTGGGTATTTAACTAAAGGTATTTAACTCTACGGCGCACGAAAGCATATGAATGAAAAATTCTTGAAAATATTTTTTTTCTGATAAACTATGTTGAATTATAAAATAATTATTTAAAAAACTCTCATCTTTATCGTTTCTAATAATTCGTTTTCATTTAGTCTGGCAACAATACTTGGCGTTGAGAGGCAATCACGGGGAATCCCCAGTCAGAAACCTCGGGACTTCCCCTTAATAGAAAACCAATCAAAGTATCACATCCAGCCGCAATTTCCCTCCATGTTCCTATAGTATAATTTCTGATAGTATTTGATGTGAGAGTAAATAATAGTGTTAAATAGTTTCAAAACGATAACAAGTGTTTTATAAGTAGAAATTCTGATTGTGTCATGAAAAAAAATAATAGCATCTGTGTTCATTTTATTTGTCAAAAATAAGGTGAGAAGTATTCATTATTATACTCATATTTTTTATAGTTTTCGTTACAAAACATTACGTGATTGAAAATTATGTCTAGATATAATTTATTTCACTGGAATTGCTAGAATCCACCTTTTTTTCCGTTGTGTGTATTATATTGTATTAAACATATATTACGTGAAATATTGAAGTAGGTAATATACAAAGTAATATTATTATGTATTATATTCATTCAATTTTGATTCAAACTCATTAGTCCAATTCTTTATAAGTTAATTATAGGTACCTAAAGAAAGAGGAAATTACCATCAAATGTTATTAATATGTTTTCAACAGGTTACGGACACCATATTGGTACATTCTCTCTAATTTATCAATCATGTCAGGCTTAGGCACTAAAAGAGATAAGATAAAGCAAAAAAATGGGAATCTGGTTCAGCAAAAAAAATTTTGTTTCTTTAATTGAAGTGAGTAAATAACAGTGTCAGTGACTTTGACTAGGGTTTTAATACGGCGACCCAGATATTATTTTTTTTTATCACTTTTGAGTCGATTTTTTAAAATTTTGTTGTTTAATGTTCCAAAAAAGTACACAAGTAGAAGTTTTGGTGTTTCTTAATGAATAAAAAATTGTTTCATTCGATTTTTTTTCTTTATAAACCCTTCTTCTTGCATCACCAGAGGGCCTCGCGAAATGTACCTTGCCCATATTGAATTTAGATCTTGCACCGCCACTGAAGTGAATATATATCACGAAAAATGCACAGCTCCACAGAAGATTCAGAAATACATAGGAAAAGGAAAACCAAATTCAAAATCAGTAAACTGATCAGTGTGTTTTGCAGTGGGGACGAAACTGAGATAATTTTACCCATCAATATATGAAATATTTACATTTATTTATCAAATATCTAATCGATTTCTCTGTTTCCCCTTCAGTTTTGCGTTAAAGCTAACACATCTGGCAATAATAGTCTTATCGAATCGTAGGAAATTTGGAATATCAAATGAAAACACTTTCTGTTGGAGATTTTAGCCACATAACACAATTACATCTTGCAACTGAAACGCGTCTGGAATATGGCGAATGAACATAATCAACGATCCATTTACAGCGATGATACGCCATTCGGAGTAGACCCATTCTCATTATTTTTACTCCACTATTCCAAATGGAAAAAATCTATTACGCTATGATCGAGAATGTATTAGAAGTAGACCTATTCTCATTATTTTCACTCCACTATTCCAAATGGAAAAAAATCTATTACGCTTTGATCGAGAATGTACAGGAAAATTGTCAATCAGAAGCGAGAAAACTGTTGCCATTTCTATCATTCAAGATTCTTGCATCTTGACTTGACATCTGAGTGTCAACAGTCCTTTACACTTGTCACTATTGATAGAAAAAGCGAGTTCTTCAGTCAACAGAGAATTTCTGATAGATATTGCTTCAACCAATAGTAACACGCTAACTTTTCGCAGTACATAAATCCATTGGATTTTTTGGTGGAATCATCGGTGAATTCAAGAACTCGATTAAACTAAAAAGTTGAAATTCATGAAAGGGAAGTTTTGAGATGAAAATACAAAAAAGTGATTAATTGAGCGAGTTGAAAAAAATTCAAATAGCAAATTCCTTATGCAATATTTATATTGAAACAGAAAACAGGTGCATCATAATTATTCAAAAGAAAGTTGAGAGTTCAATTTTGTAATTATTTCATTTTCTCATAGTATTCTTTGATTTAATTAGTTGAGTATAAAAAATTATTGTTACTGGTACCATAAGTTTGTTTTTGAAGATGGCAAACAGATGCCAAATTATATAATACCGCACAATCCTCGTGCGAAGGGATTTCATTTTTGTACATAGGAAAACATAATTTTAGGTGTCAGCGAGACCCTGTCAATTGTCATAAGCACTTGATATTCATGTTATAAATCTACTCCGTGTTTTCCAATTTCTATTCCACTTTTTGTCTCTAATCTATTACATTTCTTCAAGAAGCTGTGTGCATATCGTAAATACATGACTTATATTGTTTTAGTTATCTTTTCTCTATTCTCTTTTCCACGAATGAGCACATTTTCTAAAAAAAGTGTTCATCGCAATGCAATAGATAAAAACTATGTTATATTCTCTAGGGATCCTCGGTACATAAAACACACTAGTTTTAATGATATTCAATAGTTTAATTAGGACACAGCTCTACATTTCAAGATTGTCGAAATGGACTCTTCGTCAAAAGATGACAATCTACTGTCAAAAAACATAGAACATGGAGCACGAAATACATGATATAACATACAACAAACTACGAAAGCGTAAAAGGGCCACAACATTCTATATTTCTCCACAATTCACACTTCTTGTAACTGTGAATTCACAGTTGTAACTGTGTATTTCCAATATTATTGATTGAAATTATAAGGTGGGATAGCGAATAATTTGAGCAGTGAAGAAAAAGTACTATGGAAGTAATGAATTTTGTTAAATATTTTCAATCTTATAGCCTAAATCTCTGAAGTAAGATAACGACACATATAACTGTTAACTAGGACAAGTGTCTGTAGACAGCAATCTCTTCACTTTGCGTTCGCCATAATAGATGTCAGTTGATGGAAACAAAATTTAATCGGTAACCTAACCTAACCAAAGCTATATTCTGCTAATGAACTTCAATACGCAATGTTTTCCAAGTTCTAGTTGCACTAGTTGAATCTCACTTCGGCTAGGTAAGGTTACGTTAGTTTTCGTTTCGTTAACAATCGTATACTAAACAAATTTGCAATGAATGTAACGTGATGACATTTAATGGGCCGAGTACATAGTGTATATGCTGTGTACAGACGCTGGTCATAATGGAAAGGTAAATGAAGATTTCTGTTTTTTACCACTTTTATTTGTAACTAACGTTACTGCAGTTTCGTCCTATATGGACATTCTCAAACTTATACGATAAACTAACAATGATTCATTACATTCGCCAATATATACTATTCAGGTACTTGATTGAGTACCTGCATTTACAGTTCACAATGCGGATGTGACAATTTAAAAACCGGAGAGTAAATTAAATCGATTTGATCATTTAACAGTTTGCACCCGCAATGTTTATGCTTGTGAATTTCCAAGGATTCTAAATAATTGAGTTTGCAACCCTTCCTTGCATAGTGCAGAATTTCCGTATCGTTTAGATTCGGAAACTTGTGGTTGCATGCCAAGGAATGGTTTGAAAACGTCGAATCATTTTTTCCTAGTCTGAAGGACTTTTCATGTTCAGCATACCGTTTTTGGAAATTTCGTCCGCATTGTTCCACATAAACACTATTACACTCCGGACACTTAAGTTTATAAACTCCAGATTTTTTCAACTTGTCGACCTTATCTTTGGCATTGAAAAGGAAATGAGATAATCTGGCATGTGGTCTGAATGCTACTTCCACATTGTTTTTTCTGAAGAAAACTGCGATTATTTCTGGCTGCTAATTTATGACTGTCTGGATGGAAATAATCGCTAGGGAAAGCTAACGCGTACTTTTCCCGCCCAAGGGAGTGTCCGTGCTGGTTAGATATGCTGTGACAATGTACTCGTACTTTCAAAAAACATAGAACTCAAAATACATTATACAACATACAACATACTTCGCTGTAAGGGAAGCAAAGACCATACAAAAAGAGAGAAGTGTGAATTGTGGGAAAATAATATAATAGATTTTTGTGTCCTTTCTTTTCATTCGAAAAAAACGTTTTTCACAAATCTAAGTATAACAATTTTGTTTCATAATATTATAAAATTGATACCCTTGATTACGACTAAACACAATTCGAAATGTGGCTTCAAAACATTATTCATAACTGAATCCGACATACGTCCTGATTGCTTCTCACTTCCTCACATACAGCTAAATATTAACGTATGCGTTTGATTAGCCCTCATAGCTCAAATGTGTTTCAGATTTCTGTGATATTGACGCTGACACACCTTCGAACAAATAAGCGCACAATGTTCTTGATGTTACTTCAGTAACAACACGTTACTTTTTGTCGTACGAAAATACTAAGTTACATTTTCACCAATTTTGTTACTTTTTCAAAAAAGATCAATGTATACATCAGATCTGACAGTTTATGTATCAAAACTGATAGTTAACCTCAAGCTTTGTATCGAACTCTAAGCTAACGTATCAAAAACAACGGTTACGGATACTTCAACTACACAAAACTAAAACCTTGATAAGTTCTGTGGTTAACTATGGCTTTTGAAGATTGTTGCCAGCCTCTTGGCACGACTGTTTGTTTGCTATTTATTGAAAAGTTACAATTTTCTTCGACACAGTCTGTTACAATTTTTTTTGGGCAGGAACGCATTATAGTCTTCAGATACAATTAGAGGTTCTGTGACTCTAAAAGAAAAAAGATGAAACTTTCGAGCTCACACAAAAAAGAAGCAGAATGATGTTTACATTCTGAATGACAACTTTTGACATTTAAAATAAGATTTATATTTATTTTTATTATTATAGTGGATGATATGTATATTTAGGTGATAGTAATAGAATGTAACTTCATTATCAATTGATACTAGTATATAAAACTTTTGGGCAGGTTAGGACGTAACAAATATCCAAAATGACTTCAATGTTTGATCAGTTTGAACAGGCATCCCTTAAAACTAAAAGTAATATTAGCACTGCCGAAATGGTAAATGATTTGTTGTAATACTTCCATAAAGATGTCAACCACATATATTTAATTTTCAGTGTACGCTAGGATTCATAAATATGTCTTTAGAACAAGAGGTTCCAATATTCATGAAAAGCAAAAAAGATTTCATACCATCAGATAGAATCACACATGTAGCAATTGCCAATAAAAATTTAGCAATGGTGATGGCAAACAACGTTTTATTCAGGATGAATTTGAACAATCCTCAACAATACACTGGTTAATATTTCTAACAAATTATTTTAAAGTGCCGTATATATATTTCTTGGTTTTAGAAATATCACTTTCAAAATATACAAGTACATGCAGATTAACCAATCTATTTTTGGACCCAACTGGCAACCATTTGTTACTTACGTTTGCCCAAAAACCTTCAGAAGGTGGTCCCGAACTGCTGTATCTTTCTAAGAAATCTGATAAATTGAGATCTACCACAAAATTTCGAGGTAATGAGTTCACAGAAGTTGCCTGGAATACAGAAAATGATTCTTGTACTACAACAGGTCCTATTCTGTTAGGTAAGCAATTTTTTTTTTGCAATGAACACCTGAAAAATACTAGTCTTATGTCCTCTCTGAAAAGTATTTCTTAAACTTGTTCTGTGATTTTTACTCAATTTAAATCACAAATCAATACCATGAATACTTACAATACATAATGTCATCAGGTACATCAAAGGGACTCATTTTTGAGACCGAAATTGTTTTGGAAGGCGACAAATTCTTCACTTCAAGTTTTTCTTCTAGTCTGGAACAATACTGGAGGCAGGTAATTTGAATATTCAGCTGAATATACTTGCCATAATTGTTTCACTATTTTTTTTATTTCACTTTCATCGCTCAAAGATTCACCCAGTGTTTTGGTAATGACTAAAGTATTTAATATCTACTCAAGAATATATGCATACATGCTAATTCAAAAGTATATATCAGACAGGTTTTGTTTTTAACATCCATACATTAGATCACTGCCAGTAATGAACGTTTTTGATATGAAATTAAAAATTGACTTCTATGTAGTATTTATCTTCGACCTTGTGACAAAAATGACTCCTACTGATATCTGATAAAGAGCCCTACTGGCAAGTATTTCTTCATGTTCATTTACATATTACTTTATTTGATGTCAAAGTATCAGCTTGTCTAAAGTGAACCTAGGCCTGTTTGAAGGTGATTGACAATGTTTCATGATGAATTTCACTAGTTCGGACTTCCATTGTCTAATATATAAAATGATTTGAAATCCCTGAAACAACTAAAAATGAGAAATTAAAAATGAATAGCTGAAAATAACAATTATATTAAGCAAAAATAACCTGAAATGAAATAATAGTGAAATAAAATACAAGTAAAAATAGAACGATTGAACAAAAAATAAAAATAAAGAAATAAAATGAAAATAAAAAGTTAAGAGATTCCAAGCCACGTTAGTTCACGACGTTTCGATTGTTAATATCTACAATCGTCTTCGGGTGATTCCTCTTTTTTAGTTGTTTCAGAGATTTCATTTTATATATTAGACAATGGATGTCCAACTAGTGAAATTGAACCTAGGTTTGCGACTTTGGAATCTTAAATTCAATGGTTTTAGATAAAATAGCTTACTTTATTGAATCATATGCTCATTATGGAAGTTTTAGGGATATAGTCTTTTAATTTTCATTTCTTGTTAATAATTTTTAATTTTCATCTTGTGTTAATAGTTTAATTTTTTTATTGTTGCTTGTATTTTATTTCATTGTAATTTCAGTTTTTTGCTTAATATAATTGTTCTTTTTCAGCTAATCTTTTTAATTTTCAAAGATTTTTTTCAGAGATTTCAAATCAACTTATATCATATTAGACAATGGAAGTCCGAACTAATGAAATATATAGTCTTACCTTCTAAGTTTTCTAAGATAAATTGAAATATTTACATTACCTGATCATAAACTATTTTTTGAAGAACACTGATTTGAATAATTATTTAAACTGTATTTCTTTTGCAAGCTGCCAAATTATTTACCTTTATATGGAAACAAGGAAGCAGATGGACTGGTAATTGTATATGAATTATTTTCAGTAAAGGACTAAACTGTACGATGGCCTGAGGCAACATCTCTGAATGAGGCCTTGTTGTGTTAAAAAAAAACTAAATTATTTCTAATAAAAAACACTGTCAAAATTTCCACATAAAAAAATATGATATGTAGTAAATTGAGTTGAAAGGGTATGTATATAAGGTTTTGGCTTTCTATTTTTCCATCTTGATACAAAAAATGTAAGAATCTTCCAAAAAAACAGAAGGAACCAATCAACTCTATACAAAGATGTGTAGATTAGGGATGCATAGATTTCGATATCCGCATCCGCAATAACGAATGTTAATGTTCATGCGGATGTGGATATAATACAGGTTGCGACAAGAAATTGTTCACACGTGATAATGACCAATAGGAGCAAATGAATTGGTTGACCTTTTGTTCTGGTGCATCATTTGATTCTTGTAAATAAAATGTTACGTGTTTGTTTGTGCTGTGGATAACTTATGCATAAATATTTTTAGTACTATTGTGATGTAGTGATCATTTTGTGTCAATAATTGTTTATTGGGAAATCTATATTAGTCATAGCTCAGCTCATCAAATCAAAATCGCCAGTAGAATGTCATTATGTTACACAGGTAATAAGTTTTATTGTGGGTAAAGTTTATCGTTTTATCACAATATTTTTCATTTTTCCAACGTGGTTCCCATTATTGATAGATTATTTGACAAGTTAATTAACAATGTCACCACCGACACAAAGATCACAAGAGTTTAATCAGATTCGACTCTGAAAAATGAACTTTCAACAAAGTTTTTGAGCTTGGGATACAACAATTCATATACCACCGCCACCTATTTAGATCCTCGCTATTAGCAGAAATTTTTCACACTGGTGACTGAGGAAGAGATTAAAAACGATATTTTGATGATAACAAATATTGAGAATGACGGTTCTATTAATGTCAATTCCGAAGGGGTCAAAAGAATGAGAATAACTGATTCCACGGAAAAGGATAGGGAACAACTAGGGACATCAAGTAGCGTTAGAAAGTATGATTTAAAAACGATCTTGCTATGATGTTGGATTCGTCAAGTGAAGATGAAAGTCAAAAAACACCAGAAAATGGTAGCACTGCAGCTGTACTACTTTCTTACCACACTAAAAAATTAGTAAATGTGGATGAAAATCTCTCAAGTTGTGGAGTGTTCGTCGAAAGGAATTTGAGATATTATCACCTATAGCACGAAGATTTTTATCCGCTCCACCAGGCAGTGTTTCTACTGAATAATTATTTAGTAGTGCAGGTTTAATTTACGAAGCTCTGAATAACCGCCTTGAATCAGAAAAGGCGGCACTATTACTCTTAATTATATAATGCTCCTATTTTCAACTTCGCTTATATATGAAAATTAGTAAGTGAAGTTGAAAAAAAATAGGAGCATTATACTTAATACTAATTTTTATTGATAAAAATGTTAATAATCAGTGTAACATTGTTTCAATTTTTCATTCATAATTAGGTATATTTATATAAGATCTTAAACATCCGCAGATATAAACTGGAAGAAAAAGCCCCTTGAAACAGCTATTTTCATATAAACATTGAATTACACGAAAGAGAAATACTTTCAAAACAAATACTTTTATATGAACGCTGAATTATACAAAAAACACTTTTTTCTATTCCGTTTGTATTCCAAATATTCGTAATGGTATCGAATCAGATATCATTCATAGGATTCCAACACAATATAATAAATGAAAGAAGTGAAATTTCACTGTCATCCCCACTGGTAGACATTCGATGTTTCGCCGTATGACACTTGCCTCATCAACTCTTTGGTCATCATAAGAAATAACACTCAATTCGTTCATTATAATAAAAAAATACTCAATTTGTTCATAAAATTACGACTTTTTGTCACGAAATGAGTTGAATCCAGCCATGTCATTGATGACAGTACTTAAATAACATTCAGTTGCTTATTTGATTAAATCCCAGCCATAAGAATCTTGTTCAAATTGAAAGGGTATATTTCTAGGAGAGATTAACTTTTAGGAAACAACGTTTTTGGCTTTTTTCTTCTCCCTCTTGATACAAGAAGAAAATAAGGAACCAATCAATTTCAAAAATTAATTCTATATGTGTAGATCATGCAAAGAAGTAACCTTTAGACACAAACTGGAAGAAATAGTACTCTCACTATTTTCTTATACAAACAGTGAGGTTTTGGGAAGTGGTTCTATTTCTTCATTGAGATTTTCAACTGTTCAGTCAGAATATGGATTCCTTAAGGGTAATTCTATATATACCACCCAAAAATAGAAATGATTTCATTTGGTTTCATTCTTACGTTATAAATTCTTCTTATGTTATATTCGATCCACAGAAAACCTTATACTATGGTTCGTATTCGACAATTACTGTTCATATGAGATTTACCATATGATGTATGTTCGTATGAAAGGATCACAGGTGACAGGTTCAAGAATAACCTTATTCAATTATCATTTGAAAAATGGCGTAATTCTACCCTTTTCCTTATACGGATAATTTCAAAAAGTGCACAACTATTGATGAAAATTATTCGTCAGTCAGTAGGTGTTAGGGAACAAATTCAAGTCTCCTGAAACTTACAGTATTCTCATTAGGATTAATTATGTTAACTATTTCATAATGCTCATCTAAAATTTATAACATTTTTTTTCAAACATTATTTTGAATTTTTAGAATGTTTATTAATTATAGTTCTTCATTGTTCGTTACATTTTATTTTTTTAACAGGTTTTTGATATTGGGAAAGGAACTAATACTCCCATAACTGGTTTGGAATACTACAGAATTCCTAGTACAGATAAGTATGTCATAATTGCCGCTACACCATCCAGACTCTATTTTTTTTCTGGTGGTGCAAATATAGAAGAAAAGCCTGTCCTGCAGCAAGTTTTCAATAAGTATCTGAACATTCCAGAACACGAAACATTCATAGAATGTGCTAGTAATTTAAGGTATTCAAAATTGCAGTTTTGGTCAGAAAATTTGATCACTCCAAATGCATTTGCTTGGATTTCTGAGAAAGGAATATCTTATAGTCAGGTAAGCAAAACAAGTTTCACAATATTATTAATTCTTTCATTCTTCGAAAATATTACATATAGATTTTCAATGAATTTTTTCCATCATTACTAACACAAGGCTGTACGAGTTCTATAAATCGCCTATTGAAACAATGAATTTTTGTATTCTGAAGTTCAGTACGTCAGTACATCACAAGTATGATGGTAACATTTTCAGTGCTGCATCTCTTTTTTGTGGAATGAGATGAATTGCTACTCAGAAACTGTCCGACTTATCCTTTTTTGCAGCCTCTTAGGCATGTTGCGTGACGAATCGCGATACTTTCAATGGAGTTGGGAAGATTCAAAGTATGGTTGAGTTCACAGCCCCACAGATTTAAGCAGTACTTTAGAATATTTCAATAGTTTTCACCTTATAGATTATCAGCTTCCCAGCATGCATACTAGCCATTGTCGTTAACCTAAGCCACTCAAATTCCACTGGTGACGACAGAATAATTACGAATATCCTGAAAAAATGCATAAATGTTATATCTGAACCTCTTACTTACTTAATCAATTGATCCTTGGAAAAGGGGATTTTTCCTGAGTGTCTGAAGATTTCAAAAATTGTGCCAATTCATAAGAAGGGAAATGACACAGACATACAAAATTTCAGATCAATTTCCCTCATTAACCCATTCTTAAAAGTGTATGAAAAATATGTTTCAAGCCTAATGATAACTTGTTTTTTAATAAATGGGGTCTATTTAATGAGAAACCAGTTTGATTTTCGCAAGGGATTGTCCACAAGTCAAGTGCTTGCACAGTTCCTCCACAACGTGTATAGGGAGTTGAATGAAAGTAAAAAGACGCTAGGGATTTTCATACACTTAAGTAAGGCATTTGATCTGGTAGATCACAAAATTCTCCTAAAAAAACTTGAAATGTATGGAATCAGGGGAATAACCCACAAATGGTTTGAAAGTTACTCAGAGGGTAGATACTACTATGTAGAGGTTAGCAGAAATAAATCAGAATCTAAAAATTATTCCCTCAGTGCACACCATATTGGAAACTTTTTTTTCGAAAAGTTTCAATGAAGTTTAACTTCGGCACTTGTTTATGCTTTAAATTTAACTTAAAATGATGCGGCCAACTGCGACCCGCTGACGTTCAGTGTTTGTCAAATTCAACTTTTNATTTCCTCCTTGATGTTCTTAATTTTTATACTACTGAAGGAGGGTCTATTAACATCTGTTGTTGAGAATGCAATATAGTGTGTTTTCTTGACATTCAGGGATAATTGGTACTTATCCAACCAGTTTTTGGCAATTTCCATATCTCTTTGCAGAAAATCTTTTGTCTCAGTCCATGTATTGCCATTAAACAACATGACGGTATCATCCGCATACGATATTACTTTTGCATTTGTTGATGAAGATAAGAATGCGTTGATATATGTTAAAAAGAGAATAGGTCCAAGTACTGTGCCCTGAGGTACTCCTATTTTTATCGTTCTTGGATCACTTAAGGTGTCATTCAGTTTAACTATTTGTGTTCTATCTGAGAGATAACTGCGAAAGACATTCAATACTGTCCCACGTACTCCATAACATTCCAGTATATGGAGGAGCTTTTCATGATTCACGGTATCAAATGCTTTCGCTAAGTCAAGAAACACTGCGATACATTTCTTATTAGCATCTAATTTTTCAGTTACTTCTGTTATGACCGAGCACATTGCATCAGTGGTAGACTTACCATTTCTAAATCCAAACTGCTGTCGGTGGATTATATCGTTTGAGTCTAGAAAGTGTATTAACCGATCTTTCAAACATTTTTCAAATAATTTTCCAAAATTATTGATAACACTAATGGGTCTGTAGTTACATATATCAGTTTTATCCCCAGATTTATATATGGGTGATACAACTGATGATTTAAATTGCACTGGAACGATGTTTGTTTGGAATATGAGATTGAATATATGTACTAAAGGTGTGAGAATATGTAAATGAATTTTTTTTAATATATCAGTTTTGATTCCATCAATGCCTGGTGAACTACTATTTTTTAAAGAAGAAATGTGTTTGATTAATTCATTTTCTGTTACTGGAGTTAGAAACATGCTATTTGTATTAGTCAATATATGTAAATGATTTTTATAGTGATCAGTTCGTTATGTATGCTGATGACACATCTTTATTGATAACTCAGGAAAATATTAAAGCCACAGTTAATAAAGCATCTGATGAAATAAAAAGAATGCAAAAGTGGTTCTCAGACAATGGTCTCGTATTAAATGAAATAAAAACTGCGCTTTTACGTTTTAATCATTCAAGAACCACTTCAGATCACAGTTTACTAGTATCGTCAATTAATGGATCAATTCAACAACAAGAGTAGACAAAATTTTTGGGTTTGGAGATAACAGAAAATCTCAAATGGAACAAGCATATTGATACAATTTGTAAGAAGATATCCTCAATATCTTATTGTATTCAATAACTACGCTGGAATGTAATCTACTACCATGCATACTTTCATTGTAACATTTCCTATGATATTATAGCTTGGGGAGCATCTAATGATTGTTCCAGAATACTCAAAATTCAAAAAAGAACCATAAGGTATATAGCAGGAGTTACTAGAAGGACAAGTTGCAAACTCATCTTCCAAAATGTCAAAATATTAAGAGTTACAAGTATATACATTTATGAGATATTAAAATATGTAAAATTGCATATAACCAATTTTCCTACTCTTAATGGTAATAAGAAATATAATACTAGAAATTTCCTATAGTTGGAAGTGCCAACACACAGATTAGTTGTATCTGAATCATGTCCCAGGCTTATGGCCATTAAATTGTACAATAAACTTCCAAGTACAATAAAAAATCTGGCTCTAAAACAGTATAACTATCAAATGAAAGAGTTGCTCCTGGATAAATCCTATTATTCTCTCAAAGAATATATGGATGATAACTTATGACTATGTACATGTGTAACATTTTAGGAAGATTTTAATAACGATGCTGTTACATAAATAACATATTATTTTTGGTTTTGACTATTATATATTATGTACATGTCCAACGTTTTAGGCCGATTTTAATAACGATGCTGTTGCATAAATAGCATATTGTTTTAGGTTTTGACTTTTATATATTATATTACATTATCTATGTAAATTGAATATTGTGCCTCTAAGTGCACGGAGTTTGTATTTTTAATTTTGTATTTGCACACGTTTTGACATATTCAATGTCATCTATAGATGATCCAACTGAATAAATATTATTATTATTATGATAACTCGGAATAGCAACAATAGAGTTGCATTCAAGTTAACGCCTGATAGAGCAGATAGTGCTTTATACGTCCTTGACATAGTATTCCATGAACCTTATTGCATCTTCCATTAAGGTTCTTATTGACGTTATGAGAATGATGTTGAAAGACCTGTTAGCCTATTGGAAGAGTATTTCAAGATGTAATGAGGTTGATGAAACATTATGTCAATGGTTGTAAGAAGCACCCTTCAACCCGATCAGATGTCAATCCGAATACATCTTAGACAACTAAAGTATCATAAAGTCGATTTTGATGATTCAATCATTAATATTTTGTAGGTAGGTAGGTTGTAGGTAGGTTTCATTCATGAAGAGCCATCTTCAAAATTTGTAGTTGATTTGTTTAAATCAACAGAATCTTCCACCAAAGACAACCAATTCTCATCTATTATTCAAAATGCAAAATGGGTTTCCAAAGCATCTCTTTATCTCTTTAGGAAAAAAGCTTTTTGACCTTCACTTCTTCATCTTTACACCAAAAATTGTAGGGGAAACTTCCGAGGAAGAAAAAGCAATCAAGTTCAAAATAAACTCTTGTGTGATTGAATTTACTTTTAGATACAGACTGGAAAACTAGATGAAAGTAAGTAAAGACATCTAAATACTGATTTGATTCAACCCTAGGGCTTTTCTTTCCAGTTTGTATCCTTAAGAAACTTCGACGCATGATATACAGATCCTTGTGGAGAGTTTATTTTTAATTTTTTTGCTTTCTTCCTTCCTGTGGACTTCTCTTACTTAGATACTTCTGTCATTCCACTTTTCTGGTTGTCTAAAATTCCAAGACACCACAAATATGTGCCTAAAAATTGATATTATATATCATTTCTTGAATCTGCTTTCACAAGAACCTTTCAGTCAATGAATATCAAGGCGTTATTAAGAATCTTATAACAAAATACTTCAGACTTTTTAAATTGTTTCAAATAAAGTTGCTATTTTTGAAATACACCCAATCCTTCAGTAAAAATACTTGATTAAATAGTGGTATTTAATATTTTTTCACCTATCATTACTTAAGGCCTGTTCTTTGTTTCAGAGGCATAAACTTAGTATTAATTTTGTTATTATGAAGAAAAGATAATTGAAACTTTCTGTTTTTTACCACTTTTATTTGTAACTAATCTTACGGCAGTTTCGTCCTATAAGGACATTTTCAAATGTATACATTAATGTATGAGTGATTTGCTACCACATAGCAACGCCTACATTCATCAATTTTGTAAGTTATATTCTTGGTTTCAGTTCGACTTGCTAACGGATGATATAAAAACTATCAAGTCAAAAATAAACTTGATAGCTTATCCCAAACCACTTTATGAGGATTATTCGGTTTCCCAAAAGTACCCTATAGCAATTGCTTTAACGCAGTTCCATATTCTACTTGCTTATTCTGATTCTATAAAAGGCATTTGCTTATTAAATCAAGAGGTCGTGTATGAAGACAACTACAACGAAGCTTTTGGAAAATTAGTAAATATCGTGAAAGATGTGCAAACAGGTGAGGATTAAATTAGTCTAGTATTTAATTAGTACAAACTGAAGATTTTAACCAAGAGCCATATTCTCAGTATATCAATAATCCTGGTTAGAATTTAGGCATTTTCAATTTGAACATTTTATGGACACTGCAACATTTATTATCGTTAGGCTGCTTAAGGCCTTTGAGCCTTGCTTTTATGAAAACTCTTACCTAGCTTTCTGTCTGAGGTACTGAAGACTGTTATAAGAATCACAACTTTCATCCTCATTACAAAGACTACTAGAATTACAACGTACGCATTTCAATTTTTTCCATATATTGATTTTCTGTCTAACAAAATGGAAGTAGAGGATGAATTATATATGGAAAGGAAATAAAATTTGTTGGGTATTATTGGCTTACCAGAAGATTTTTTGTTTTAGACACATCAGATGCACTTTTGTCAAATATATGAATTATTTAATTTGCGTGGATAAAAATATGCATATTTTTTCAAAATATATTCAACTGATTATTCAGTCACACAAAGTATGATACCTGAGATTTTTTCTCCATGATTCTTCTACATTGTGAAATACATTCGTTGAAGAATTTCATCGTTTTCAGGTGTTTTGGAAAGTTAGTATTGAATAATTACACTGCATGATATCAGCATACAGGCTGAGCTCATTTTTCCAGCCAAATTTAGCAATGCTTGGCTTCGGCCTACATACGGAGAATATGGTCCTAAAAGAACTACTTCATCTTCTAATATATCTAATCAAGTTCTGTGTGAAAAGTCTCCACAGGTCATTTTTTTCCAATAATGTTAATGCCTATTATCCAAACACCAAACCGTTATTTTTAATACCTCGACACGTGTTTCAATCACCAAGTGATCATCTTCAAGAGGAAGATTAAACAGTTTAATCTTTCTCTTGAAGATGATCACTTGGTGATCGAAACACGTGTCGAGGTGTTGAAATAACGGTTTGGTGTTGGAATAAAACTCCAGTAATATTCATTACGACACCAAAGGTTCCAAACAGTACATTACAAGTACAATGTTAATGCCATTACAATGAGGTAGTTCTGCATTCATTAAATGTTTTCAATTATTTGCTGAATGTTCTTCAATATAATAACAGTTCAACTCATTATCCGTAGGAGAGATTTGGGCTGTAACTGAAAATGCAGTATTTCGTTTCAAAATCACCAAAGAAGAAAGAAATGTTTGGCAAATATTCTGCAATAAAGGAGAATTTGATCTTGCCAAAAAGTATTCTAGGAGCAACGAGGCTTGTTATAATCACGTGTTGATAAAAGAAGCTGATATGCTTTTCAACGAAAAGAAGTACATACTCAGTGCACAGAGATATGCGGAAACACAATCCAGCTTTGAAGAAATATGTTTGAAATTTATCCAAGCAGATCAACAGGATGCACTGAAGTTATTCTTGAGGAGCAAATTGGATACCCTGAAACCTCAAGATAAAACTCAGATAACGATGATTGTATTGTGGGTGTTGGAGCTTTATTTATCGAAATTGGAAGAACATAGATTACAAGGACTTGAGCAGAGTGCTAAATACTCTGATGTTCAAAAAGAATTTGAGGCATTTTTGGCTTTGGATGAAGTCTCCGATTGTTTGAGAAATAACAAGAATACAATTTATGACCTAATGGCGAGTCATGGGGATAAGGCTAACCTAATGAAGCTGACCATAGTGAATAAGGATTTTGAACAGGTATTTTTACGGAACTAGTCGAATGTAGATCCATTTGGATCACTATGGTAGATCATAATTATGATGATTTTTGTTATGCTAACTAGTTCAGATTTGTTGTAAATCCTCTGTAATAGAATTTGAATATGTGTAAAACAAAAAAAATGAATATCCACCTCTCCCAACCTTCCTACACAATAGAATCTGGAAAATGCCTGCCAGAAATAACTACTTTCCTAGATAAAACTATGACTGACTTCTCATTTGTCTAACCGCAGGACCTTACTGAACTCAATGAAGTGATCACCTACGCACCGGGAGTATTACTCCTTTTCAGTGTGGGACGGATTTAACCGAAATAGCATTGCCATCTGGCAAAACATTAAACTTCTGTCTGTAATTGGAGCCATTCAAATAAACAAAGGGGTCAGAGCTCGATCTCGTGAATAAAGCCTCAAACTTTGCCAAAACCTACAGTGAAGGAAATATTAATAAAATATTCGAAGAAAGGTCATCCTTTGCTCATGTGTTTATCAGATGAAATATATTTTTTATTGTATTTCAAACGCTGATTAATACATTCCAAGTATATTGCTTATCAAAATATGTTCATGGCTATCTTTAATGAAAAAATATATAAATTTTGCCGTGTTCCATCCAGAAGCATGAAAAAATGTTCGGTTGATTTTCATAGAACTCTGAAGCAAACAAAATCGGTTCTACGGAAAATTTCAATATCTGCAGTAGTTTTGGAATTATAAATAAAATTAGACTTTCATATATTGGTCGTTATATTTTGTTTAGAAAAAATATAACTGTTTTGCACAATTTTTGAGAGAATCATAAAGAGTCCCATTATTTTTTTTGTCATTAAAAAAATCGGAAAATTTCCTCGGAAAAACATCTTTCCTCAGAGCGGGCCCCTATTTTTTATTTGAAGAGATTGACACACGGTTACTTGGGAGAAGTTGTTCTAAAAAGAAATATTTCATGATTCAATAATTGAAATTTTCATGTATCTCTCTCCTCTACATTGTAATCAGACTGTGAAAAATTTTCTGAGAAGCAAATAAGATATGTATTATCTGAAACTAACTGAAAGAAATTTTCACATGAAATTGTCCCTTCCGATACTTTGAAGGTTCAAACCTAAATTCGATCCTATATGAAAAAATGTCACTTATCTTGACCACATATTCGTGATACTTATTTTCCACTAAACATACTTATTTTAAATAATGAATAGACTGACCCGTTACTTGATGAAAATTAATAGCACTCTCCATGATAATAATTACACAGGAAGCTACGGTGTTAACAACATGCGTCCAGAAATAAAAATGTTTTTGATAATTGTGTAATTATTATCATGGATAATATTTATTTCAGTTAATAAGGCAACATATATTCAAAAACAGTTTCCGAGAAGCATTGGATGTTCTCAAAAGTCAAAACAATAATGAACTGTATTACCAGTTTGCTCCCATATTGATTCAAGAGGATCCCAAACACATGGTAAAAGCTATCATTGAGCAAGGGAGAAAATTATCACCGCTCAAGCTTCTTCCCGCAATGGTAACTTGCAGTGGAGAATTACATGCATTCGAAGTCATCAAATACTTAGAATTCTGCATAGAGAAAATGAGAAATACCGACAAAGCTATTCATAACTTTTTGTTATCGCTTTATGCCAAATATGACTCAGAAAAGCTCATGAATTATTTAAATTCGCAGGGACAAGAAATCAGTATGGTAAACTTACATTTCAGTTGTGGTAACACTTAACTAATGAATATATCTTTCAGGTTAACTATGATGTTCATTTCGCATTGAGGTTATGCCATGAAAATAATCAGAAGAGAGCTTGTGTACAATTATTTGGGCTTTTGGGATTATGGGAATCTGCAGTGGATTTGGCTCTCACAGTGGAGTTAGATCTAGCAAAGAAAGTGGCAAATATGTCACCTGAAGATGATTTGGAACTAAGAAAAAAACTGTGGCTGAAAATAGGTATACAAAAAACTCTTTATCGCACTTTATTTTTTTTCAATGCTTGGTTAATGAATAAGAGTTATAATATTTTTCTACTTTATTTTTTTACTAAATGTGGAGACACCGTCTGTAGGTATATCGTATACCCACTAAAAGTACATAAGATTATTATTACAATATAATCCAGAATAAATTACCAGTTAATCATTCTAGATAAGCTTTTGTGTTTTAGATGAGCACTAGCATAATGCTTGAAAACACAGTTTGATTCAAGAAACTTACCACTCTCAGTTATTAGTAGTAGGCTCTACTCAAAGCTTCAGATTCTTTTTTGGCAAGTCACATTTATGGCAAGTCACAAATAGAAAATACTTATTAGTTGATGACAATATAAAATAAGTGTTATATACAAGTAAGAATCGGATTATAATGTTTCGTAAATAAGAGTTTGATTGAAACACGCAAAATTTTACTCAAAATACATTATCGGTGTCTTGCTAACTCTATAGATAGATATAGATAGATAGATATATTTTCACCACATTACATATATAAATACATTTATGGCATGTCAATATATTAATAGATACAATATAAAGTACACAATGACTAAAATTATACAATAAAACATATGATATTTTGAAAGTGTTACAAACATAATCAAGTGAGGCATAAATAAATAGCGTAAATAGAATGGAATATTTCAGAGAAGTGATGTGTTGAGTGCATGACTCAGTTGCTTTGTTGTGACGAGAAACTCGTCTGTGGAATAAAAGCAGTGTTCAAGAATATATTTTTTGTGCTTTTTTTTGAACTGATCAAAAGATAGTGATTTGATTCTCTCCGGCAAGCAGTTATATAGATTGATATTCAGAGAATTATGTTGAGATTTGGTTAATCTATACCTTGGAGTTTTTAATAACTTAGCATACCTAGTATTATGGTCATGTATATCTGACTGGGTTTGTAACTGGTTGATATTTCTGTGTATTTCTAATAAGGCATTGTAGATATATAATGAAGGTAAAGGCATGATGCCAAACTTTATAAAGTGTGGGTGACAATGTTCTCTATATCCAACTCCAGCTAAAATTCTTACTGCTTTTTTTTGTTGTCGAAAGATGGTTATTGCACGAGTGGCATTTCCCCATAAAATTATTCCATAGTTTATCTGCGAATGAAACAGAGAGAAATATGTCATTCTCAGAGTATCAGGTTGAATTGCTTTTTTTAACTGCCTCAAGAGAAATAGAGTACTTGCTAATTTGTTACAGAGCTGTTCTATGTGATTCGACCATGTGAGTTTGTCATCAATAACAATTCCGAGTAGCTTGACAGTATTTCCCATTCGTAAGTTCATATTACAGGAGAAGGTTATTTTTTGGGATTTGCTTGCGTTCAACTTGAGTTTGTTCGCAGTAAACCATTCGTCGTCGGCGAATATTGGGTAATAGGAAGTTGCAAAGGTCATTTATATAAATTACAAATACGAATGGCCCAAGCACTGACCCCTGTGGGACACCATGTTTTATAGGTAGAAAGTCCGAGTTTCTTTGGTTAACAGTGACACATTGTTTTCTATTTTCTAAATATGAACTGAATAACTTCAATGCCACCCCTCTAATACCGTAATATTTGAGTTTCAAATATCAATGAGTATCACAATATTCTGATAGCATGGTGGAGAATATTGTATAGATTCAGATTTAACGAGTTTCTGCAGCTTACAGCTAGCTTCTTTCAAAAAAATCTGTTTCAAAATGTGTTTTTTCGTTAATCAGCTGTCCCCCCATACAAACGACACCTCTCAGAAGTTGAGAAACTTGTGCGAGCTAATTATGCTAACTTGTTTAGCGAATCATACGTCGAGAGACAGCATTTTTGTTCTGGTGAGAAAGAAGTGTTTTCAATAGATTACAACTAAATCAGTGTGAAAAAGGCTACTTTTTACCAGTTGAATCATTTTGTAACTCCCATGATGAAAAAGTTACGCTGGTGGTGATGTAATTTGGTTCAGCCTGTATTCAAACTTTGTAGAAACTTGCAGACTACATCTTATTGTCATGAAAGGAATAATCTGTTAGACACCGGTTGTGATTACCTACACACCATAATTTTTAGGCACTTCTGCAAAATTTTGCTTTTAATCGTATTTGTACTCAAATGATAAACTTTTATTTTGTATTAATTTTTTTTTTAATTTCAGCACATAATGTTGTTAAAGACAAGGATAATATTGAAGAAGCAATGCACTTTTTGCGACAATGTGATTTAATTAAAATTGAAGACATTCTACCATTCTTCCCAGATTTTGTAACAATAGACCATTTCAAGGATGCTATTTGTAATTCATTGAAAGTATGTATTTGCATTGAACATTTCATTATTATTATTTCGTGAAATTTATTTTTGAGTGATTGCTCCCAAATTCTTTATTTTATTCAATATCAATAAATATTACACCTTGACATATGTTTTGATCACCAAGTGGTCATTTTCAAGAGGAAGATCAAACTTGCTCTTGAAGATGATCACTTGGTGATCGAAACACGTGTCGAGGTGTTAAAATAAGGGTTTGGTGTTGGGAAAAACTCCAGTAATAATCATTACTGCATCAAAGGTTCCAAACAGTGCATCACAAGTGCTCAATATCAATAATTTTATTCAGCTTTTTTTTAATGGTTTTTTAACATTGAACCCTGTTGAATTCCTTTCCGCCAAAACAAAGGTTTCTGATTCTACAGCTGGCAGCAATGTTTTGACTCGCCATAGGTCTCATCAGTGATGCAGGGCTGAACCACGAATGCATTGCTGGACACATTCCCACATCCTCCCACATACATCTCTATTGTTGCTCGTAGATATTTGAAACTTTGTATTCATTCTATTGGTTCTAATAATCATCCTAACTGCGTTTTCATTATATTATTTGATAGTTTTTTCTATTGTTTTTCTCCAATACTTTTTTGTTGAGTATCTAGTTGTTTGACTCAGGATATTACAATAATTGGTTCATTGATTAGAATAACTAATTATCAACATTGTTTCAGGAATATAACCAGAATATTCAAAATATAAAAGATGAAATGGAAGAAGCAACAAAGTCTGCAGAACAAGTGCGCGATGAAATACAATCATTTAGGAATCATTTCACGTTGATAAATAATACAGATGCTTGTGAAATATGCAACATTACTTTGATGATAAAACCATTCTATATGTTTCCATGCCACCACAAATTCCATTCTGATTGCTTGTTGAGTGAGCTGTCGCCATTCTTAGGTATTAACATGAATCTTTATTTGTCCTAAACTTTTATATTTTGTCATACAGAAATATCTCTTCATTAGTTATTATTCTATCAACTCTTATTTTGTGAAAATGAATGCCATTATGTTCGTGAATATTGTAAGAATTAACAGACAGAAATTTAGTGAGGTTGATTCCAAAAATAAGTTTTTCTACAACAGAAGAAAAATGAAAATTATGCCGGGCCTATATCAAGATATTTAAAATTGAAACATTCAAATTCAAAAATAGATATACATATTCTGCTGAACCCCATATCCCTTCAAAATTGCATGTTACTTATAAATTTTCAACCAATTTGATTGAACTCTTATCAAGCCAATTTAAATCCATCCCCTCATCATTTTCTTTCTGTCGTTTTCTCATTTTATTTTTGGTCCTTTTGTGAACCGATTGTCACAGTTATGGCATGTTTAATTTATTGCAGTATAGTTCATTTCAAAATGTGGCTTCCTGATTTTCTCTGCCTTTGACACGTAATGGTGCATTCAATCATTGTGAAGTGGCAGTCAAAATGAGCTCAAGAAATTTAAATAAGTTCATGTGTAAAGTTGACGTACATCTTGACATACATTTTTTCTAATTAGATTATGATCGACAGATGTTTTTAGTTACGTTTTTTAATCTCAACAGGCTGAAAACAAACAATGCCAAATTAGCAGTTAATATGCTCGAGTGTAATTAAAGGCAAATTGAAATTGATTTATTTTTCGTCATAAGTGTTCAAAATAAAACAAAACATGGTTAGGAGCATATATCAAAAATTGAGTCGAAAATGTATAGATTACTCCATTATCAATGCACGAGCCAGACTTCTCATTATCAACTAGATGATGGTGAAAACTTTTGCATCAACAGTTGATGAACAGATCAACTATATGGACCTCCAACAGGGACTTCCGAAATTTTACATCAAAATGGATGTTCTGTTCGGGCAACGTTCCGCACGCTTCGCCCATTTTACGGTCGCCATAATCGTCCTGACGAGAGGACTATTCGCAATGTGGTGGATAAATCTGAGTCCACTGGTTCAGTAAAATATCGACCAACACAACTTGGCGAATTTTGCGTCGTGACTTGAGCCTGCAACTGACCCAGGAACTGAAAAGGTCAAGGACCACAGACGACGTGTGGGATCTGGAGCAGTTGGCAAGACTACATATAGTTATAGAGGTCCAATTCACTTTTTATAAGGTGGTATTTAAAAATTGGCCAATAGTTTGTTTATTACTTAACTACTGTTTATATACTTCACCTTAGATGTTTGAAGGGTATGATGAAAAAAAAAAGGTGTATTACATGAGCTTAGGATGTTTTATAATTCACGAACATCATCAGATGTTTGAAGTGCATAATGATAGAAAAAGGTGTGTTGTAGAAGAATATGTATGTACTTATTAACTGACTCAAGAAATAGGCATTATAAGTGAAAAAAAACACCAGTATTTCAACACCAATACATGAGGAAGGGCAGCATTATTATTTAATTTTTTGGCTCGTTACCCATATTGATTTTAATAAGAGTATGCTTGCCATCTGTTCCTCTGGCTCCTTGAAGCTCATGATCCGTTGAAGAGCATTGCAGTTCTCATAGTGAAACGATGTCCCAATATATTGAAGTGTTCTAGAGATTTCACCCTGGCTTGCTTCCACAAAATTATTTCTTGTAAATTGTAGCAAGGTTTTGCTAAAACAGCTTACGATCTTCTATTCTTCAGCCCCTCTGATCCAATTCCACATTGGGATGTATTCTCATTGAGAATTGAGTTTCCTTCCATTCAAAGACAGACCAGAAAGTACAATCTCCTCTCCAATCAGTGTCACTCAGGACTCTAATTGAACAGAATGTTGTTTTCTGTAGAAAGAGTTTCGTAATCCCTTTGAATTTGTGGTAGTATGTGCAGTTTAAAAACATCAGCTTCTTCACCATCTCCATGGTCCTCTCTGTATACATTATATAGAAACTTTATTTCTTCTTTATAATTATATTATTTATCATGTAAATATCCACGCAAAAATCATAGGTCTGTCCTGTTCTGAACCCAATAATTTTGTAGGTCCTGCCAAGAAAAATAGGTTGTCGGACTTGGAGAGGCAGTTGAAGATTCTGAATAATCAATCAAATGCAGACAGCATAAGTACTGGCTCTACGGGAATGTCTGCCAAGGATTTGGTCAAATCAGAAATTGACAACATTCTAGGCTCTGAATGTGTGTATTGCGGAGAGAATATGATTAGAAACATCGACAAACCCTTCATAGAAGATTACGAACATGAGAATATTATGAGAGAATGGGAATAGTCAACACATATTCAATAAAACAAATTATACTATACATTTTTTTTACTTATACTCAACATAAAATAAATGATACTGTTCATTTTCAAAACAATTGAGTACAAAACTTGAATATTTACAATATCAAGATACAATAGGCAACTTCTCCATTACTCTTTAAACAGTAACAATTTCAAGTCGACATAATTTTTGTAAAATATTCCAGATAAATATACATAAAAATTCATAAAATATAAATAAATCATAAAAACAAAGCACCGATAATAAAATTTTATTGTTAAGAAATCAATGTTTTTGGATTTTTGTTCAATTTTAATTTTGAACTTGATGGGTTCAAGTTTCCTTAATGTACTTCAAATAAATTCACAAGACAAGAATTTCTCTACTGGTATTTTTTAGAAAAAAGATTCAAAAGCATTGATTTTTCCACACGAAGATCACATCACAAATGTACTAAAATTACTGCTAAAAATAAAATTGTTTACAATTACTATGTACAAATGGACTTTTTCCTTGGTGTATAATGTATCAGTAACATTCTTGTATAAATACTTTCAACATATTACATCAGTATTCTAATTATTTATCAAATACCCCTCTATAAAACGTCAACTAACAAAAATTATGCTAGGATTAAGATCAGAGTGGTTGGAAAGTGTACATATCGACATTTTCAGGAAGAGTTACATTGACTTCATATGATATAGGAATAATTTACTCGTCTGTAATTATCAGGACTTTATTTGCAAATCAAAATTGACTTCCTTGATAACTGTTTGTAAAGTGGCACTCTATGTCAAAAATGAAAATTTTAAAAGCATTTGTTGTGCCCAAAGAAATGTTTCGCTACAGTATTTATGCACTTCAAACAAGAAAAGACACATTTTATCCCAAAGGTGACATTTTTCTTCTCAAAATCCCAATAAGAGGCCATCCATAAATTACGTCATACGCTAAAGGTAAGAGAGGTAGTCAACAAAATGTGACGAGGGGGAGGATGAGTCTTAAACTTCATGAAGAAACATGCATAAATTCAAAACGATCTTGGCGACAGTATGCAAACTATAATTTTCATTGTGAAGAAAATATTATCGACTATCAATATTTATAAGATTCACCTTGGTTTGTGTCACTTTTTACCATGTGACCATCAGTATACATTTGATAGAAGCTATTATATAGTGAAACACTTGTATGTACCTTTAAGGACAGGTAGCCAGATTTTATTACTGTTCATTGCCTCTTCTTTTCTATTAAAATTATCCCTGTTTTTGAATTTCTATTGCATCTCTATATACTCTTGGATAGTCATTTTAAGGGATAATTTCGATAAAAAAGAAGAGGCAATGCACATTAATAAAATTTTATGAAGAACACTATATTTAACAAGAATATATTTGAATTCAATACTTTAAAATTGAAAAATGTGTCATGTCACACAGAGTCAGTTGGAAACACTAATATAATAACCTGCAAAATTGACAGAAATGTTCAAAAAACCATACAAGTCTTGTGACATAATTTATGGCTAGTCCTATACATGTGAAAAACGGTTTCAATCACATTTACATGTAGAGTAAAAAAAAATGTGGCAGGACAGAGAGAAGGAATATTAATAAATAAGTTTCAGTTCCATTTTTCGTAAAATGAAAATATATGATAGAACTGACCGATATTTGATCTATTCAAAAAACAAACTCTAATGTGAAATTTCCATTCGCAAGTTAACAAAAGTGTGACACGTGTTTCACTATACGATAGCATCTTTTGGCGTCACAAAACTCAATGCTCAGTATTATGTCGTCTGAAGATGTAATAGTATAGCGTGACACGTTCCGCGGCTTTGTAAATTTTCAAGTGTAAATCTCATATTAAAGTGTATTTTTAGAAAACAACAGAATATTTTTATATGAAGCTTTCTCCAGACAAAACAATGCAAAATTTTTAGAAAACAACCCTATCATATGACTCAATTTGAAATTAGTTTTCAAGAAGTTAAAATGTTGATACCTTTGATGTAGAGGTTCATAACCTGCTGATTTTACTACAACTTCAAAAATCGTTTCCATCCCTTCACCCAAATTCCTTTTCGAAGTTGTCAATATCTGGATGAAAAAATTTAAATTGGATTGTGAAAAGGGTGTCACAAATTATTGGGTTATATATAATATCAATATATCTAATAATCAATGAATCTAAATTCAAAAAGTTTTTGTTGAATGCGAGACGAGACAAATTAGCAAAGACAATAAATAATATAATCTACTTGATTAACATTTCTAACAGGACTTTTTCACTATTTTACATCACCTGAGATGTTGACTAAACAACTATATCTAGTTAATGACGAAAAACTAAAGTTCAATGCAGAAACATCATCAACGTTTTTCTGCTCCTAGTTACATGTTCATCAGTAACATATTATTGTCTTGGGATAAAACACTGAATTACAATCAGTCAATTTTCAAAAATTAATATTTATTTGGACAATTGTAACCATATATGGGAGAAACTTACTTATGTTAAAAATAAAAATATATGTTGAAATGTTTTTCCGTTAGCCAGCTGTAGCCCCCTACGAATGACAACTCTCAAAAGTCAAAACTTGTGCGAGCTAAGGATTGAGAGGTCTTACCTTTTAAAGTGTGATTCCTAACACGGAATCTGTTGGAATTGGAAATGGGGTTTTTATGAATTTACACACACAGATGATGATTTTTTTTAAGAAGAGTTATTCAGGTATATGAATGTGAAATACACATGGAAAAATTTATTTGTTTTAACAATATTGGCAAAACGTTGATGAGGTTTTTCATCAAGTCTATCGTAATTTTCAACAAGGAAATAATCAATAAAAACCTTTAAGTAGTAAAAACTAATAACCTCATTGAAGGTTTGTTGTAAACGCGCTGATTCCATTATTTTCCATTTCATCCATTATTTCTATTACATAAGCTGCTACATCAACTTCTTCCTTTTGGGCTCGTAGGATGAATGGATCCTTGAGGAGCTCTTTATATTTTGGTCTATGATTTTCTTGTTTTATTAAGCTACAAATAATAAGACACCCTTTTAATAAGCTACCTATTAATGTAGCTACCAATAAAATGCAATTTGCAATTTTTGCAATTTTTCAAAATATACTATGCTGTCTGTTTAAATAAAAATGTAAGGCACATTTGTTATACATTTTACTGATTAGATACCCTTCCTGTTGCCTTTCATTCAAATTATTTAATCATATAATGTTTATATGAGACCGCCTCTTACTAAATGGGCTTTTTTCAGAATATTATTCCAGCCAGGCCTTTTTTTTCTATTTTGCCAAATACTAAACTACTTTTAAATGCTTATGTTTGCTAAAACTTATTGCATTGGGACCTGAACAAATTTTTTTTTGAAATTTGTAACATATGATCCATTTAAAAGTAAAAAAACAATTATCAAGAAGCATACTTCCATCAATAAAAACTCATAAAATGACACCGTTTCTCTGATCCATGGTTAACTTATCTCAAACATAAGAAATTTTCATTATAATA